ACCGGTCTTTGAAGGCCTAGCGGCAGCATTCATGGTGGTATTCGGAATCAGCATCGTCGACTACCTATAGTCCAGTCGGTTTCGTTGAAAAAGCGATTTATCAGTTGGGGATCATTCCTCGTGAGTAGTACTAGGAAGTACCGAGTAGTGCTAAGAAGTACCGGCAAATACTTATGAGCAAGAGGTAGCCCCAGATACTAAATGCAGACTTATAAGAAGCACAAATATTCCCTAAGCAATAGTTCGCAATTATGAAAACAGATATTTGTACCTACGTCGAATTATGTGTAATTTTCAACTTTGTTGCAAATTCGAATTCTCCATCCTGTGGACCGATCTAGTCATAATGGTTCATAAAAGAGAGCTAAAACTGCTGAGAAGTGGAGCTTTTCTTCTATATTTGCACAAACATATACATTATTCATTATAGAGGATTAGGTTGTGTCGTCGTGTCTATCTAGCCTACTACTCGTGTCTATCTAGTACTAGGTAGTACTGGGGAGTACTACGCAGTACTGAGTAGTACTGGGTAATAGTGAGCAGTACTAGGTAGCACTGAGTAGTACCGAGTAGTACTCGGTAATACTGAGTAGTACTAGGTAGTAGTGGGTAGTATTGAGTAGTACTAGGTTTACAGCTCTTCAGTCAGGTAACTATAAGACTGACGGTGGTACCAAACGGTTAAAGCCTATAACATGCGTCTACAAACTATTGAATGTAAAATGGAACGGAACAGATAGATACGAGTATAGCGGTATTGTCTATTTAGAAGAATATTTTGAAATAATTTGCTTTGTTGCGAAGTCAAATTCTTCATACTGTCGATCAGTCATATCAAAATTTGATCGAACATTTGTAGAGAAACGACCCTGGAGATTTTTACATAGTCGGAATCAGCGCGACGAATTACGTTGTATAGTGCAAAGATGCCGTCGGGATCCCGATAATTTTTGGGCCTGGTGTTTCCGCTACAGACATCAAATAGCTATATTTGATGTCTGGGTATATTACACTAGAACGTACCGTGCTCGCAGTTTGTCTCCCGCGTATCGTGTAGTAAAACGTACCTGATTTTCTGTAATTTTTTTTTCTGTGATATTTTCTGTAATCATAAAATATCGACGACCGAATAAGTAAGAGAATTTAAATATTAATTATTGAATTAGAGAAGAAAGAATTTTATCCGTGGGAAAGGGTTAAAAAAGCAGATCGTATACTTCTCTTTGAACCTTTATTTTTTATAATATGATATTTCTTCACATCGAAAATATAACTAAACAAAAAATCCCAAATCACTTGACTTTTCTGCCCATCTCGTTGTTTGAATTCGAGTTGCTGATGTTGGAGGTGGACGGTATGTGACTGTCTGTGGTCATGGAGTTGATGCCATTGTATTGAAACCTAAGGCTTGCAATTCCTCGCTAAGTGATGCCGATGTAGGAGGACGTGTAGTTGTAGACTTTTGAGTTGGGTTAGTCACTGATGTTGTGATCATTTCACTCGTCGATGAGGGTGCTACAGTACTGAATGATGTGGTTGGTTTTAAACAACATCGAGGCACGCGCATTTCACCCCCAAGTGAAAAATAGTTGCAGTAATGTGTTTCAGGACACGTTGGCTTTGTAGCACCGAGAAGATCACAGTTGTATTCTAGAATTGGTGCAAGACAAGTAGAGTGGTGCGTACTTTTACATCGACAGACTTCACAATTCGTTTCCGGGTCAATAACGAAACCATTTGAACAGAAAAGTGCACAATTTACTGGTAGACAGATTGTTGGCGGCGTTGTCGCTGTAGAAATTTGTGGACTTCTGCACCGACAGACTGGACAATTTGTACCTGGATCTACTTCAATAACATGTGGACACGGCATTGTGCATGCAACGGGAGGGCATCGAGCTAATAATTCAGGTTTTTTACATCGACAGACTGGACAATTTATTTCTGCATCTACGTCGAATCCATTTGGACATACAATCATACAAGTTACAGGTCGACATGTATTCAGTTGTTGTGCTGACGTGGACCAACAGTAAAGGAAGAGACCTGCGAGAATGAGTGTAAACTTCATTTCTAGAGTGGTGACTGTTTTAAGTTTTCCACTTAATGTGCAAAGAAGCAAAAGAACGATGTGTATTCGTACTTTATTTAAAGGACCACAAAAGCAAAACACAGACAGATGTACATTTTCTCATCAGCCTTTTTTATAAATTGCGAAGGTAAAATGATCAAGCGTACCACTCCTATATTTACTACAGTTTGAGTCTGATCAAAACTGCAAAAGTCCTAATGTCCAAAACTCTAAAAGTCTAAATGCGTAAACGTCCAAAAGTCTCGAACTCTACGAGTGAAAAGCACCAAAACTCTAAGACCGTAAAAGTCTAAAGGCTTGAAAGTCTAAAACTCCAAAAAGGGCAAGAGTTTAGAGCTCTAAAAGTCCCAGACTCTTAAAGTCCTTTTAAATTTTAGGAGACTAAAACTATTTCTTAATGTCTAAACGTCTAAAACTTGAAACTTTTAAATGTCTAAATGTTCAACTCCAGTAATCATATAGCCTAAAACTCTAGAACAGTTTTGATTAACCGATATAGCTTATTCCGCTTGTCAACTCTTTCTCGGAAACCTGCTCAAGATCGGTTTAGGAAAAGAAATTGTAGATAACCTTTTTTTGCCCGCAACGCATGATTACTTTTAGGCATGCACCGGGTTTTTAGTCGATTAACTGAAACCGATACAATCGAAAAAAGTACTT